TTCTATCGCGCCGGCATGCGACATCAAGACCAGTTTTTGATGGAATACCAGCTCCTTGCGGAATTGGTAAAGCCGCGGACGGTTCTGACTGCTCCCCAACGGCTGACTAGTTCCCACAGGCGCGGTAATACAAAGACACAAGTGTTCGCCACGGCCCGCGCGAGACATTGCCAGCGTGGTTTCAGAGAATGTTTGGAACGAAACTAATAACAGGTCCTTATGCAGTTATTATTTTGTATTCGACTGAAGACCCCTCTGGCACAATTGGGCGACGGATGCCGAACAATACTAGTAACAACGAAAAGAGGGAAGAGTAAAACCGTCGCCAAGAGTTCAGCTTGCCCCGTAGCATCCAAGGCAAGAATTGATAATCCATGAACGAGAGTGACGATAAAAGTGTGTTGAGGCAATGTTGCGCTTTGGTCTTCTCGCCTACTCGATTCTTGCTTAAGTAGAGAAGCTTGTGGCTTCAAAATGTTCTCAAGTTGTTGAAAATGCGACAACTTACGCCCGTATCGCTAGTGCTTCTATCTCATCTGTGGATTCACCTCTGATAAGTGCACTTAATTGGAAAGACTGGCGGAAAATTATTTCAGAGGGAAGTAGAAGCATGACGGACGGTGGACGCGTAGAAGTCCCAAGACGCGGTCGCTTTTCCAGTTCTCGAAGACTTAACAGGCCTGCAATTCAAGTGTAGTACGAGTTCACATCTTTTCGATTCAACATGTACTTTCCATTGCCTCCCGCTCCATGAATGATACTAGACCGCATCCTCCTGGTAATTGAATTCCTTCCTAGTATTAGGCCGACAGTGACGATTCCTGTCGCAATGACTACTGCCTGCAGCATCAGCAACCTGCTGCTCAGGCTGAGTGTATGGGCTCTCCTTGACATGCTGCATCAAATTTCTGCCCACCCCTCGTGACAGTCCGTAGGCGATGGGAGACGCTCCGGTGCTTTCCTTGCTACCTATTGGTGGGATGGCATCCGGACCAACTTGGAGGTCTCATAGGGCGAGAGTCTTCCATGAACTTGATTGGCGGTATAAAATGCAATTGATTAGTGAACTCGTCTCCTTTGGGATGTAGTCAGTCAGCATGCCTGGTGGCTTGCGTCTGAGACTCTTAGTGTCCGTACGTAATGAGGAGCGAGGTGAGAAGGCTCCCTGCATGCACAATGCGCGTTGCGCATATGAGCACCTTTGGCGGAATACCGCCAAAGCGGTTGCGAACAGGTACGAACTCGGGATAGACCTACGCCATACTGGTCTTCCAGTACCTTTTCATCATGATAGTAGTATCTAATGTGGTAGTTGGTGATACTTTGAGCGTTACCATGATTTGAATACATTGGTGTTCCGGGATCTGAAGGCGGGTCACTTATCACTTATCAGATATCATTTATGGTAGAAACCGACCTCTGCTGATTTTGCTGCAGAGGCTGGGGAGAAAGACCCGAGCGGCCGACGCGGTTGTGGGCAAAGGGGGCGTCCCTCAGCTTGCTTCTTTTTCCACGGCCCGATGAATCTTGGCACGTACCAAACTCCGACAAAGTCGCAGGATGAGCGAACGAAACTCCGTACTCGACCATAAATTTGTTCGCTCTAACGGCACCAGATTAGTAGCTACAAACGTCTTAGTTCAGCTTGGATTGTCAGTCTTGGCAGAAATTCCATTGAGAAACAATTAGATGAGATGATAGATCATTATCTGCACAGTACTTTAGGTCTGCGCACAGGATCCATACCACCCCCCCTTCGCAGGAAGCTATCGCCAATGATTGTTCATCGGGGTCTGCCGGCTCGCTGCTGCTCGGAGGCCGCGATGATTCTCAGATCCCAAACTGCACCTACCACGAGTCAATGGCTCCATCCGCTTCTACTTTGGTTCCTTGTTGGTACTGCCGGCAATACTCTCAAGTCCGAGAGGGATGCGGCCATTCCCAAGCAAGGAAGGTTATGACAGAATGTTCATCCCCAGGTATATCCTCCTCACTAGCCGCAGTAAACTGCAGGTTAGGACAAGGCGACATGGTTCCCACGTTGCGTGCCTGGTCGCTATCTTACTTCGGGAAGCTCAAGGGCTTCCACTTCTGCCCACACCTGTCAAGTAATTCAAGCGACTGTCGATATTCTGCCCAAGAGCTTTTCTATCATTTTCTTTTGCCAGATCACGCACTGGCATCGGAGAAAAACTACATCAACGTGATCTCAGATATCATCTACAGAGAAAAGAGGAAACGACGCTAGGCTGATTTCTCAGAACCAAGTTCAGGGACTGTTTTGGGTACAAACGTGCTGCTTACCGCCGAAGACCTGGGGATATTTGCGACGCCAGTGCCATTCAGTCGGGTGCGGGAGTGGGCCGAGTGCTTTCCGCTGCTGTCTCGAAATGCCTCGCCAGCGTCACTCGACATAACGGCCGGCACGGGGCGTTGTGGCACGGGGCGGCCCTGGTCAGCCGCCCATGGCATGTTTGCTTTTACCGTTTTACTACCCTTATCATGGGTGTTGAAGTCCTGGTCGCATTGCATCTGCATCTCGCTCGTCACTGTGCAGCGTCCTACTGCGACCCTGTCACTTCCCACCAGGCCCACCAACCACCGCGTGCCGACAGTGAAAGACACAGACAATAGGTCTCATTTGACGACTAGCTAGCGTGCTGAACTCCAGACAATCTCGCCCATCAGACCCTACAGGAGTCGCTATGATAATTCGCTGGCAGAAACTGTACAATCAGATTTCTCATGACTACACCGCAACTTCGGTGGCGCAGATCGCTTTCTGGATGAGTTCGCACACCCATGGCATTACACGCCAATCTTCATTCGCGCCAAACAGCCATAGTATCGCTGATCTATGAGTCAAGAAAGACCTTTTAGCCTGTTCAAAGTGCATGAACACGCAGCCCTCGAAAACCTTCTGTCTTCTGTCCGCCCTGCACATCTTCGTTTCAGACATCGCATTAATGCGCCTCCGAATGCTTGCAGCATGTACGCTTCAGGCTGGTGGGATCTCAGATACAAGCGCTTTAGTACAATCTTACAGCGGGCGGCGGAAAAGAGTCTTGAAACACCAAGAACAATCTAAGTATTGCCTGCCGGCGGTTGCACCCCGGGGTTACCGGGGCCGCTCGGACTGAATCGCATGCCGGACCCACTTGTTCCGGCGCATGTGTCCGGCTCCGACACCGGAACTTAGCTCCGGATAGAACCACGCTCACGTGTCCTCCTCGAATGAAAAATGGCTCGTTTTGCTCGGGTTCGCATAAGGTCTTCTTTTCTTCTTTTGAGCTGTTTTTATTCACCTCTGCATGAGGTCTTGGCAGGCTGACAGCACCCTGAATCCTGGGTTAAGGCCTTGGGCCCTAGCGGCGCCGGCTCCATGGCTCGAGGTGATTCTGTTCGATGCGGCACTATCAACGGCCGTAAACACCATCATCTCTTGCGCCATTTACCAACCAAATCGTGCCGCGGGTCGTAATCCCTTGTCCCGGTACAGCCTGCTGCGCTTTTGGCCATGCATATTTCAGCGTACGCCCGGTGAGGCCAAAAGCCGTCTGGTCACCGAAAGTCTAGACCTGAGATCCCGGACAGCCTGAAGTCACCGAGAGGGGCAGATACCCTCTTGGCAGTGACCACATGAGCATGTCGTGCGTTGCGCGGAACACGGACGGGTGACCCGTTGTGCTGCCATGCTCTTCGTGCAACTCTGGACTGTGGAGGATTGACTGGTCCACCCAGGGTACGAAATGTGAAAGTCCTGTCCAAGTATACGGCAGAAAACCAGGGTCTTAGAATGCCCCTGTCGCTATTGAAGTCCTCGTTCGGCCAAGACTGATCTACTGAGGAGGTGGGGTCATTGTTATCTCCGCGGTCATGATTATAATGGCGCAGAAACTACCGGTGAAGGAATAAGCGATCGGTACCCAGTAGCAGGTGGCCCTCATCTTTGGTACTCAAATACCGAGGCAAGGAGTCTCAGAGACCTTCTCTGAGCGAGTAAGCTTTGCTTTGAAAAGTCAGGGCGGTATGTATGTCTGAGAGACGTGCTAGCGCTACACAAGCGAGTTGAGCGTCTTGGCTCGTCCCGTCCCGCAGGCTTCACATCGGAGTTTGGTCTTTTCGCGTCATTTTTCGATCCTTAGAGCCATGCTTTGGAGCTAAAAGGGGCTGCACATCGCATGTATGTAAGAGGGATCGGAAATTAGTGGTAAACGGCCAATTAACGACGCGTGACGGCCTTGGTTTGTTGCCTCCGTCGGAGCCCCCTCCGCTCTGTCTTGTCAAGTGGCCATATTTGGATGTTTGTAGCCTGTACTTCGGCAAGCGACACAGCCTCTCTGGAACCCTGCATCAAATTGGAAAAAGCAATGTGGCGTCCCGGAGGACCGCAAAGATCTCAACTTCGTTCACTTTGAGATTGGGTTGAGGCTCGCAGGGTTCATATCGGTAGGGCGGGTGGAGGAGGGTCAACAAACAGACAAGGCTTGCTCACGTTCAAGGCTTCAAACCAGAAGGTCCCCGGTCCGAAGTTTGTCTAGATTTTCGAAAGGATGTTACAGGGTTCCGAATGAGCAACCCTTCGCAGGGACACGTTCCCAAGTGGGTAAACGCGCAACATCCGGCTTCCGCGAGACGATAGGCACACAGCTGTAGGTGGAGACCGTGGGGCATTCGCGATGAATGTGAAATGTGACTTAGACAATCACAAACTGTCCTATTGAAATAATCGATCACGTTCGGGTGGTAGCATGATTCCACATCAACGCTGCGGAAAGCTGCAATCGCCCAATTAAAGCATGAAGTTTTGTGAATAGAAGTCTCACCCCGCAGAACAGATGTTGAATCTGCTTGACGACGCACATCCTCAAGCGTCCCCCCTTTGGCCGTCACCCTCCTCTCCAGGAAAGTTTCCCGCCAGTGTTTTCCGCCAGTATTCCGACACACCCCTCCTGGAAGCATCCCGATGGACGCTATGATTACCCATCAGCCTGAGTACCTTACAATTTACTCCAACGCAACAGCACCGCAGCGGCGATGACAGGTAAGACGGAGGCAAGTTCGCCGAGGCCGGCTAACTCCGGTGGGATGCGGGCGTTGACGAAAGCCCCTGAGCCGAGGAGGATGGCAAACAAGTTGTAGACGAAGCTCCAGCCAAAGTTGAATGCAATCCGATGGATGGCCTTTCTGCTCACCGCGATGGCGGTGAGGATACCGGTCAGGCTGGGGCGCATCAGGACAACATCGGCTGCAGATCTAGCCACGTCAGTGCCCACGTTCATGTGGACGCCAATGGTAGCCTGGGCCAGTGCAACGGCATCGTTAGTGCCATCTCCGCAGAACATCACGACGGGCTTCTTCGGCTTCTTTTCCGATTTGGACACATGGGTGGAGGGTGTGGCTAAGAGTTGCTGAATGTAGTCCTGTTTGTCTGCGGGGTTGCATCGCGAGTGCACATTAGCCTCGGGTATGTTGAGTTGAGAAGCAACCGCCTGGACCGCCCCGTCATCGTCGCCCGAAAGGATGTGGACCGAGACGTTGGAGGCCTGCAGCTTGGACACGGTTGCGAAAGCCTCGGGCCGCACCGAGTCCTCTAGCGCAAACAATGCAACCAACGTCCCGTCGACCGTGAAGCAGAAGACGGTGTATCCTTGCGACAAGAAGGACTCGACAGCAGGATCAGACGATAGACCCAGCCATCGCGAATTGCCAGCGCGGAGCTTGCGACCAGAGATGGTTCCCTGACCCTCGACACCCTTACCCGTCAAAGTCTTGGAATCGGATACCGGCGCTGGCGATATACCATTCGCCTTTAGATGGGCGGCAACCGCTGCGGATACGGGATGCTTGATGCTACCAACAAGGCCAAGAAGCAACGATTGCGTCGCTTCTGGATCGCCAGTAACGTACGATTCTTTAGACACGCTTAATTCCCCACGGGTCAGTGTCACTGTCTTGTCGAAAACTACATGCGAGGTCTTGTAAGCGATCTCGATACTGTCGGCCGACTTGAAGATGACGCCTTTTTCCGCAGCAACTCCACTGGCGATGACGATCACCATAGGAACTGCTAGTCCAATAGCGCATGGACATGACACGATGAGAACGGTGATTGCGTATGTGACTGCCTGGATCGTTGCTTGGGAGCCGGACTGTTTGCGGACAGCGACTCCAACGGCAATCCATACAGCAAATGTAATTATCGTCAATGTGACTACGACTGGGACGAAGTATGACGCAACTCGGTCTGCTATATCCTGTATTTTAGGCTTGGACAGCTTGGCTTCGTCAACCATCCCGGCGATGTTGCTGATTGTGTTGTCTTCGGGCAGACGGGTTAGGCGTATGTTGAGGGTTCCAGAACCATTGATCGAGCCTGCAATGACAGAAGAGCCTGCATATTTCTCGATTACTCTTGATTCGCCCGTGACCATAGACTCGTCTAGCTCAGACGAACCAGAAATGACTGTGCCGTCGGTTGGAATGCGAGACTCGGGAGCAACTCGGAAAGTGTCTCCATACTGAAGCAGTCGAGAGTCAATGTCCTTTTCCTGGCCCGAGGTGTCGATGATTGTCGCTGTGGACACCTGCAGAGATCGGATGGAAATGGACTCAACGGCCTTCTGACGAGCCAGCGCACCAACGTATCTGCCAACCATAATGAGAGTGACGAGGAGTGTGCTCGTCTCAAAGAACTCCCCGGTCGACAGAGGCTTGTGAGAGACTAGATAACCAAACGACACCACGGAGAAGATGTACGCGGCGCTAGTACTCAGCACAATGAGCAAGTCCATCTCAATCATTCTGGAGAAGATCAAGCTCTTAAGTGCTGTAGGATAGAATGGTCCAGCAATAGCAACCTGAACAATAGTTGCCAATGCCAAAGAAACTGACCCATAAGCAATCTCATTATCCGGCAAAGGTGCCCAAGCCATCACGAGAACCGGAATAGTCAGGACGATGGAGAGTAAAGTCATCACCCCAACATGGCGAACATGCTTGCTGCCCCCCTGGCTCGTGATCCTCTCGCATTTGAACTCCGTCGTCCGTTCGAGATGCTTGATGACATCGTCCGCCGAGCCAACTCCGACGTCTAGATCGAACTCTGCACGCGCAAGAACAAGACTAGTCTTGAAATTCTTGATTGCGTCCACGGTGGCAAGCGTTCTCTTGAGTTTAGTCTCGCAACCCGTGCATGTCATGCCCGAGATACTGAGAACAACATGCTCTGTTCCAGACACGCCCCTCTCAAGGTCGTTATCGTTGGTGATGTTTGCACCAGACTTGCAGAGAGGTTGGGAAGCGGCAGGCGAATCCCCATCGCCACAACAAGAATCCGCACAAGAACCAACAATTCTCGGGGTGTTGGTTGCGGCACAGCATCCATCAGCGCACCCTCTGCTTTTAAACTTTGGACTTGCAGACCGACCTGCCCTTTTGGTCCTGAGACCTCTGTTGGCTGTGCAGACCGGTTTGCTCGGCCCTGATACGCAACAGGAATCAACTGAACTGCGGGTCCGAACCGAGGTGATCGATGCTCGTTTCTTTTCGACAGACGAACGATCACGAGGTGCGCAGCATGATTCTTGACCGAGAGCGAGGAGGGCGCGGCAGATGCAGCCCAAGGCTTCAAGCCTTGCCTGATAGGTCTCGCGAACGGTACGGGCGTGGCCGCGGCATGGCTTCCCGTCTTTTCCCCCAGTGCAGCCTTCCGCTCCTGATCGAGCTACGAGCCGTGTCAGTCGCAAATAGATTGAGGTGGCGTGCGTGTGACTCACTCTTTCTGTTGGAACGCTTGCCGCTGGTACACTCGCGTAGAGCGAGACGATCAATGCAAGTCGAGTCGCAGCAAGGAGAGGTCTTGCCTTCACAGCAGCTGGGAACCTTCTCCTCCTGAGACTTTGGGGCTGGGGAGGAGCAGCATCCCTTCTTGCAATTCTCTTCAGCCTTGGCAACCAGAGCGCAGCAGTCATCCTCGATAGCAGTCAAAGTGCCGCTTGGCTGGACGGGCTTGCTCTCTCGGATTGTCTCGCAACATCCCTTGTTGCAGTTCTCTTCAGCCTTGACCTTCGAACCACAGGTTTCGTTTGGCTTGCTCGTGTTGTCGCCAACAACATCGACAATCCCACTTGCATTTTTGACGGAATCGCCGCAACATTCCTTCTTACAATCATCTTCGAGTGCAACTTGGTCAGTGGAGGCGACATTGGTGTTCTTGATAGTGTTGTTGCCGCAACATTCCTTCTTGCAGGTGTCTTCAATTGCAATGTTGGAAACGCAGCAAGAGTCGACAACTTTGGCAGCCGCAGAGCTAATACTTTTCCCATTATCGCATCGTTCCATGTTGACGGTGCCACAGCAACCGTCCTGACAATTGTCTTCACTCTTCGATTTCTCGGCATCGCAGCCATCTTTATCTGCAGCGGTTGAAGAACAACACCGATCCTGGCAACTCTCATTGAGATCTGTGGGATTGACTCCACGGCCCAAGGTTGGCTTGTCGATCTCAGAGCCGCAGCCGCTTTGGGTGCCGTCTCTATCTTTCAAATCTTCAACGTTGTCGATGCTGTCTTCGCCATCGCCCTCTGCAATCCGTTCCTCTGCAACGGTGAGACTAGTGTTCGGCCCAGGGAGGGCAGCTGGTCCGGGGGTCGGGACTGGATCCTTAGGCGGACCACAACAACCCGATTCGCAGGGCATATTGAGAATTCCCGCGTCAATGCACACGCGTCAAATGAGGATTCGGTTTCTCGTATTCGACAGTCTTCTGATGGGGTTGAAGCCGACAGCAGGTTCACAAAGTGGCCTCTCCGTCCGTCTGGAGTGTTTCCGGTGGACGGCGGAGATGACGACTCGGACGCGAAACCTTAAATAGCGGACTTATTGCTCCACTAAATCCTCCAAAGGGATGACTTAATTGGACAACTCAAGTGTCTCCGGTTCCGGAGTGGAGAAATAGGCCGCCTCCGAGATTACCAGCTATGTGATTGTCTCAATCCTGTTCCATGAGGATCCAATGTCGGGAAAACTCTCGTTGCAAAGGAGACTGAAAGAAACATGATAGAAAATTGAAGAGGCCGCATTGGGAATTGTTTTCCACAAACTTGCTGGTTGTGTGACTGAACTCCGTGACACAAGAACAGTATGAGGCAAAAAGTCGATTCTTCGCAGCACACAAGTGATTTTCTAATCTAGTGTTTATGATGTCTAGCTTCCTGCAAAGCTGGATTGTTAGATATGCCTATGGTCTACTCCATATTCTTTCAGTTGTCAGGTGCTGATCTTTGCTCCAAGCCGCTACTGCCACTCCTGGCTTCTGTCATGAGGTCTTAGAACAAGTTCGAGACTTGAAGAACTGAGGAAAGATATCTCGAAGCTCCTCCAAACTTTGTATTTGATACTGCGATGCTTCTTTCGAGGGCATTGGAAGCCCTCTTTCAAGAAAGTGAGCCGCTGTCCAGCCAGCCTTCTGAGCGCCGACGCAATTCCCGTGAGAGTCATCTATGCATCTATGTCAACGTGGAAACGCCTCTGAGGACTCATCATGGATGGAGGCCATACCGACGAAGTAACAATCCTGAACTGATTCCACCCCAGCTTCCTTCATAGCCTTTAGGAACATATTCTTGTTCGGCTTGCAGATGAAGGGCACTTGCGAGTAATCGCAGTACGTCAACCCCTCGAAGAGATCCTCGACACCAAGAATCCGGATAACTCTTTTGGCATGAGTCACGTACGCGTTGGTTAATAACCAGAGCCGGACTTTAGAGGTATCGACATACTCAAGCAGCTTTCGGAGTTGCACATCTGGCTTCAAGATATCCTCGAGGGGCAGCGCGTCATCAACCTGGGCGTTGTACTCTATGGGGTCAATCTTGTGGTGTCGGACCAAGCCCTCGATCGAGTGTCCATAGTCCGTATGGTACTGGTGATGTAGCTTTACTGCCTCTTCTCGAGTCAGAGATAGGTGCTTCTCAAAGTATTCATCGATCAAGTCGGAAACCAGGTCAAAGATCTTAGCATCTAGCCGAACGGTTAGCTACGGCGTCCAATCCCTCTCGCAAATCTGTACAATTTTCACCTCTCGAATACAAACAGTTGTCGATGTCGCTGCGTGGTGCACAAGTCAGCAACAAGTTCACACGGCCAGTATTCATAGTGTTTGATGGTGGCTCACAAGAAGAGGACTGGCCTCTGGGGTCGAGATCCCTTGCTCAGGTCTGCCTGCGAACCCATCTCGTGCGCTTCACGATCTCGTGGACAGTATGTGGTGAAGATCCCTCAGCGATCGGCAGGCCCGTCCAGGCCGTTCGAATTCGGCAAAGTTTTTTTGAGATAGAGTTCGTCCGGACCGCCTAACCATACATAAGCGCGGCTGACATCGGTGAAACATCGACGTCACCGTCGTTTACCCCACACCTTGCTGCGCAGAAGACCTCCGGGTGCGGAGAACAGCGACCAGACAGGTTTGTTGACCAGCAGGTCACTACACCATGGTATTTCTCTCTGACTTCAATATTTCTCTGGGGCAATGTTCCAATTGTTGAAGTAACATGTCATGAGTTCGCGCTGGATCGTGGTGAAATCGTGTAAGTGCGACGCGGCATCAGCGCCGCGTGGGAGGATGTACCTGGCTGGCCGCCACTATGCAAGTCGATTCATGAACTTCGGCATTGGCGACGACGACATGTTAGTGTTCAAAGATATGATGAAAAGGGCTTTTCAAGAATGACTGTCTCTGACGATTATGTTATCTCCTCTCTTCAAACAACTCCATAGCTCGCTTGTAGCATTCCACACAGACTTGACAGTTCTGTCCTGCATCATCGTCCGATGTCCCTATCGAACTAAGACACGGTGATCTAATCGCCACACCTTGTTCACTAGCTTGTCTGCTGTCCCAGCGCCATTTTCACTACCACGATCATCTGAGATAGACCTACCTTCACCTCGCGTCTTGGATGAGGAGCGTGGGTCATGATCCTTTCGTAACGCCAGCGAATATGACTTCAATAGATGCACGGCCATCCGCAGATAGAGCGCATGAAACCAGCAATGGAAGTGATTTTGAGAAGACAAAACAGACGCAGAATGACGACTCAAAGCAGCGGGAGGACCACAGCCCGAAGACCGGAGGAAGCACGGATGGAAGCGACCTCGAAGCTGGCGTTGAGCAGGTGGAAGGCGTCCGAGACACGAAGAAGAAGAAGTTCAGGATTTCAAAATTCTACAAGAAGTACAGGCTTCCGATACACATTGTCATATGGCTGGCATGGACGGCGTGAGTAGATGACGGCCACAACACATGTCATCGGAGGTGTTGAGCTGACATCACACGCGAACAGATGGTGGATCGTCGGCCTCATCTTCCATCGGTCAGATAGCCTCGGATGGCTTAAGCCGTTCTTGGTGTACCTTGCCATCACCATCCGCATCAGCACACTATGGCTCCCTGCTGCCTCGGTGATGATCCCTCTGCGGTTCATCTGGCGAAACACGATGTTCATGGCGTACGACATGACGCCGCAAAAGCTGCATAAACCAATCGCCGCCGTGATCACTGTGGCAGTCTTCATCGTCGGCGCGATGATTCCCGCAGAAGTCGGCGACAACACCCGCGCAAGTCGAGCGATCTCACTCTTCGGCCTCGTCCTCCTGATCGCTCTCCTCACGGCCACATCCCGAGACTGGAGGAAGATTCCATGGCATACCGTCATCGGAGGCATGCTCACCCAGTTTCTCATCGCCGTGTTTGTCCTGAAGACGAGCGTGGGATACGACATCTTCGCCTTCATCTCAGAGATGGCTAGGACGCTCCTTGAGTTTGCAAAAGATGGCCTCCGGTTTCTCACGGACGACGAGGTCCCGACGAAAACATGGTTTCTCATCAACGTTGTCCCGCCAATCATCTTCTTTATCTCTCTTGTACAGCTACTATATCATTGCGGGCTACTGCAGTGGTTCATCGGAAAGTTCGCCATCTTCTTCTTCTGGACCCTCCGGGTTTCCGGCGCCGAAGCCGTAGTAGCCACCGCGACCCCGTTTGTGGGGCAAGGAGAATCGGCGATGCTCATTAAGCCCTTCATCCCACATCTGACCCTCGCCGAGATACACCAGGTGATGACCTGCGGGTTCGCGACGATAGCTGGGTCGGTGCTGGTCGGGTACATCAGTCTCGGCCTCAACGCGCAAGTCCTCGTTTCATCGTGCATCATGTCGATACCTGCGAGCTTAGCAGTGTCGAAGTTGCGATACCCGGAGACCGAAGAGACCATCAGCTCGGGCAAGATCACAGTCCCAGAAGACGAAGAAAAGGCTGCCAATGCCCTACATGCGTTCGCAAATGGGGCGTGGCTGGGAGTCAAAGTGGCTGGCATGATCGTCGCAACTCTTCTCTGCGTGATCTCCTTTGTGGCCCTCGTTAATGGCCTCCTCGGCTGGTGGGGGAGGTACTTGAATATCATCAACCCGCCGCTGACGCTTGAACTCATCCTCGGATACGTTTTCTATCCGGTGGCATGGTGTCTCGGGGTGCCGAACAAGGACCTTCTGGTCGTAGGAGAACTCATCGGCATCAAGATCATAACAAACGAGTTCCTGGCTTTCAAGTCACTCTCAAGCAACGCCGAGCCATACGTCTCGATGTCACCTCGCTCACGGCTTATTGCTACGTATGCATGCTGTGTAAGTATATATCTTTCATATCGGTAACGTTTCAATCTCACACCTCACAGGGCTTCGGGAATGTCGGCGCCCTCGGCACGCAAATCGGCGTTCTCTCTCAGATCGCGCCCGGTCGTGCAGCCGACGTCTCCAGAGTAGCCGTCTCCGCGTTGTTTTCAGGTATCCTGTCGACTCTGACTTCCGCCAGCGTTGCTGGTATGTTGTACACTGGATAGTGCTGGAGATGGGGTCTTCATGGTTGTACTTCCTAAAAGCCAGATACCCAAGAGAAAGGCACGCGGGCTTAGAGGCGAGCAATAATGGAACAAGAATATCTCCACACGCCACTCGAAACTGCTGGATCAGAGTCTACCCTGACAAACATGGCTAAGTCGGGGCCAGGCTAATTCCAGCCCTGGTGATCTTCGTCCGGCATGACGTCGCTTCCTTCATCGTGTAGCATCGGCCTGCGACTGATGGGATTTCCATGGATCCAAACACTGACAAGGCATGGCGAGCGAATACCGACAGGTCATCATCGCAACAAATAGCCTGGACAATGATTGAGTATTTCAGGCGATCGTTCCATTTACCCCGGTGTCAATCGTGCCCAAGCAGTCTTGGGCACGCGACGATGGCGTGTACTTGTCTGGCCACGGCAACCAAGCTCCCAGCCAGCACCACAGTCCCGATGTATTCCATCTAGACCTGTCCCTTCGTCGAAGTCTGCCTTGAGAACGGTTTTGCGCTGGAGGCTGAAGACGATGAAGCCTGACTTCTGGATGTAAGAGCAAGCCTTCGGGCCAACCACACCATTCTCGCGATTGTGCTCCAAAGTGCAGCGTTCTGCATTTGACTCAAGGTCCCTTCCGGCATCAGACAAGTGGCCCTGCATAAAGATCGACAGTGAGGCTCACCGGCGACAGCAAGAAAGCCTCACATACCAGCGGCTCTTTCAGCTGAGCCGAGTGAGTCGCCGACTTGAAGTAGCCGCCCGGGGGTTGCAGCCGAGACGCCGGGCTCACTTGAGCTCTCTTTCATTGGAACGACACATGAGGCTGATTCCATTGGGAATTGCATTTTGATTGTGCACATGGCCGCTGGGCTCGAGAAAGACATGCGCGTCTCGCGGCGTCCGCTGTTGTGTCCTCATTGCTCACGAACCAGGCCTCAATGCGTCGTCGTTGCTTTCTCCGCAGCATCCGCAAGACCGGCGGCGGCATCTTGGCTTTCCTACCTTTCCCCTCCCCCGTATCCGTACCCCATTACCCCAGATCGCTTGCACGTTTTCAATCAATCCGTCTCCTATTTTTCACGTAATGAGATTCCTCTCGGGGCGGCTGGTGCCAAAGTGACAACTGTCCTGACCTTCAGACGGCCAATGCGTGGAATGGCGTCAGAACGGTTCCGCAACGATGTGAACTCTTACGAGAACATTACCCCATCGTTTCCATTCTTTACCCCATTTCCCCAACTGTGCGTCTCTGTCCGTGGAATTAAATCAAACGCCACTGGACGCTTGGAAAAGCTTGGAAAAGCAACCACGGACCGGCGTTAATATCATCTTGCATTTGCACTGCCCTGTCTGGGGTTTGATCTTTGGGGGCGTGACAGCTTCATGGAGAGGGGGAAAGCTGGAGACTGGGGTAAAGGTCCACACTCAACTCTCAGGGGACACGCGCAGGGACTGGGACAGGCACTGGCAGGCATCGCGTCGCATCATATCCCTTCGCATCAACAGTGTTGCTTCACATCACCGCTGAACATGAGGCGACGGCGACGGAAGCGCTAGAAAATGCATGGAAGCACGCTATCTTAGTGTCTGACAGGGCTTTACGAGGGAGCAGCTTTGGGTTGGACCGGCAAAGAGCCCTAAGGCGCAGGGCAAACTCAAACGCTCACGAGAGAAACGTAGGACTGCCCGTCGGTAGCCGAAGAGGTCTAGGCTGGGGGGAAGATTGATGGTGGTGGTGGGATGGCACCCAAGCCGGCGATGGCTTCATCCAGTATTGGTTCTCTGTCCTACACATACAAGCGTAGGGCAGTTGAGGGCAGTAGTCAGAGAATAAACACCATTCATGAGAAACATCGAAGAGAACAGAAGGCGCATCGCAGGGCAGGCTCGGGAAAAAAGCCTGCTACATGTTTACAACGTCTTCACCGATGCGGCAAACCTTCGCGGAAGAGCCGTAAACTTAATGCGGCTCGAGATCGCGTTGATAGTCGATCAATACCACATCACGTCTCCGAGTAGCCGGGGCCAAGACCATGTTGCCAATGTCCAACGCGGGCGCACATACGAATGCGATGGGGAAGCGATGAGCAGGAATTGACCATGACTTGACTGCCTGTCAAAAATACCTCATCTAACAGAGTCTTGGCGAAGTTGGCCCGGGTCGCGAATGGCGCAATTCCAATTTTCGTCTTTCCATCACCGCCCAGGCACTACGCTGGAAGCGCCGGAGCGGAGGCCGTTTGTTATCGACTTCGGGATCCCGAGTCTTGGGTCGTGGAGAGAGACGCGCGCACATCGTCCCGGCACTGGGGGACGCCTCGCGGCACCACACCGTCTGGTGGTCTGGTTGGCGGTCGGTCGGTTTGTGGTGACTAGATGGAATTCGTCATGAACTAGGGCGCGCACTGGAAGACGGAGACCAAAGGGTCCTCAACCGCCAACGGCCCCTTCACCGACGCGCGAGCATCACCCCTGACGCTCTGCTGGAGAGGGGCCAACCCGGTGGTTGACCCGCCTAAGATCCCAGATCTAGCACCGCCGGATGGACGTCGGGAATTAAACGTTGGGTCTGTTGAAATGACGAACTGGCGTGTCTTGAGTCGACTGTCGGCAAAGTTGTCTGCCGCTGAATACTGGAGACGAAATGGAATGCCGTCTTGGAGGATCGTGATGGAGGGGAAGATGGAGTCCGTAGACCGTTTGGTTGACGTGTAAAAGACGCATTGATCGCCAGGCATCATGAGCTATGAACGACACGTTGTGATGGCAGTGCACTTGGCAGACCTCGACTAACACTAACTACCTGTGATGGCCTGGCGCATCGAGGCTCGATGAAGCCGTCATGGTTTTCTCGGCATGCTAACCGACCCTGCGAGGTCCTCGCCGGCTGCATATGAGAAAAGCCCAGGCCACCGTTGCATCGCGTCTTCACGTTTTGCCCGTCTACAGAGGGCAGGAGAAGGCTGACAGCTGAGCTGGAACCTGTTCCCCGTCAGCCCAAGCTGGTGGGAATATGTATGTGTGTACGCCAGCGCCAGGGCAGACGCCATGCGCCAGAGGTCCCGACATATGCAAAATCAGACGATGGGCGTGGAATGTGGGAGAGGGCTACACACCCATTGGGAATGGCTCCCGCACGTCAAAAGACGCCAACTGATTCGTAAAAAAACATGAAGGGCTAGCAGGGGACACGCATTCGGCCATGTGTCCGTGTCAGCGACGAACGGTAGGGACTAAGAAAACTCGAAAGCCACCTGAAGCCAACGCCGGTCCGAAGTTACAAACAGTACCAACACACGCGAGTTGTTGTGTGCGTGTTTGCTTGCTGTCGAAACATTCCAGCCATTGACTTTTGTCAGGAGTAGACAATCTGCCCGAGGCCATCGCAAGCCATCCGGAGTGGCCCTTCGGCAGTCTAAGCCAAGTGCGGTCAAGGGCGAGGATAAGCTCGGCCAAATCCATGCTCTGAATGCCCACTCGACTGTGAACAGGGGAGGGGGCCCGTCATGTGGAGGAGATAAGGACCTGCTTATTTAGGCCAGAGATAAACGTCTTGGCGGGGAGACGATGGACGCCTCTGAATGGACGAGGAGAAGCTGGGAAAGTGATGGGGGAGGGGCGGGCAGGGAAGATGGTGGCAGGGTGGCGGAGCTGTGCGAGGTGAGAGACGCATCCTTCGTTTCTAGAACGCAAAATGGAATCCTCAGGGACGCTGATATTATCAATTCATGTTAGTGGCAGCGGGTGATTAGGCCCTCAAGTCATGTACCGCCATCAGCTGGACACCTAACAGTTTCGCATAACGAGTACGTACGACATAGATGCTGTGTGCTCCAGTTGGTTGCACCGGAGTCCAGTCTCTCTTTGCTGTGTTTTGACGGTGAATACAAACATCGTGACTCGAGCACCTAGGCCTGGACCTGGTCCCGCGAGGCTCTCGCAAAGGACCCTGAGATATGAGCTGAGGCTGCTGGGCATTCTTTCGGTGAGACAGGCCGGGAGAGGCTGGGAGGCGTCCAATCGCGGGCCCTACACTTGCTAGGCGTTTCTGCCCTTTTAGTCTGTGTTGAGCAACAAGCAATGCCTAGCTACGGGATGTTCGAGGCCACAAGAACCACCAAGAGATGGACAAGCCGCTCGTGCAGATGCGCCAGGGCAGTTTTCCACCACCCAAGCTTCAGGAATCAGGGCCACTGCAGCCACTTTGGCAGACGGCTCTAGCCTAGGCTGTGAATGGCCTGGTCCTCTGTAGCCTGTAGCTGTCCGTGTCAGTTTACTTACTTTCAGCGGCAATGTCACTGGATGAACGGGCACGCCGATATCTATCATGTCTTGTGAACCTTTCCTAGGCGACCCCTTGTTGCCAGGCTAGGTCTTCCCAGCAGCAGCAGCAGCCGCGAAAGGACCTGGTCACCTCAGCGGGAGTCCGAGTGAGTGATGAGAAGCACTGAGCACTGAGCACTGAGCAGCGAGCGAGCAGCCTTTCTGGGTCAGAGTGTCTGGGGCATGATTGGCAAGATGCTGAATCGTGGCTGAAATATGCCCCCGCAGATTGCCCGAATGAACTCGCATCGCGTGAGCTCTCTATCTCTTGGCTCTCTGTGAGTTGCTGGAGATGAAGACTGTGGTCATGGTGGTGTGTGGTGTGGTGGAGGAAGAGGCCCTGGCAACACTACACAACACCCCCCGAGGCACTGGAAAACTGCATGTTGGAGATGCGCCTTGTCCGGGTCACCCACGCCTCTGCTACTCTAGACAGATACCTTAATTCAAAGCTGTGATTGCTCTGGCAGGTAGGCTTTCTTCTGTAGTTGTTGCACATTCAGCTGCGCTTCCCAACATCCGCGCCAGGCTGACGAAATATCCCGTGTCTGACGGGCGGATTCGCGTGGTTTCAATGTGACGGACCGTCTTGGATTAGCGGACAAGACAAGGTTGTTTTCGCTGTTGGAGCCACTAAAATCTGCGATCAAGGAAATCTAGCGAGGAAAAAACCTTCAG